TATATATATATATATATATATATATATATATATATATATATATACTGTAGGAGGTTCATTGTACCCCAGTCCAGACCAATGCCTCTGTCAGTACGATCCAGTGCAACTCTTTGTACAGGTTCGCCAATTAAACATGCTACATTTAATAAAGCGTAATATTATATCACATGAAAAGTGTCAAAAGTTTGGAAATGATGTAACGTTTTATATTGCATCCCAAATTAACAGAGGTGTGTTCACCTTTCGAGCCACTTTAATGGTAGTTTATGTCAAATTTAAGGAGGACATGTTCCCCGAGGTGTCTGACAATTAAGCTTTGATACATAATAAAAAACAAAGTAAATGCTGTAGGCACATTTTTAATGCTTTATATATTTCATTTTAACTTTTACTGATTTTCTGACTTCTTTTTAAAAACCTAATCTCTCCTAAATCTGTTGCTGTCAACAACTCTTTTAATTGGGTAATTTAAAACGAATATTATAATAAAAAGACTAAATCAATGGAGACATTCAAAAGCAGTTAGGTGTGACTTAAGCGAAATGGGTTACAGTTTGAAAACACCCACCTCTCCTTATCCGTGCAAAAAAAAAAAAAATGTAATGTGGGACTAGTGCCAGATTAAACCAATTTAACAGATGCGCCCACAGTAAACAGGAGTCAGCCATGGTCACGTTTAGTCATCAGATAAATTAATGAGACCAATTTTGAGCTGGTGGCGAATTAAAAAGGGCTAAAAGAAAATCAAATGGCAAGAGAGACCACAGCAAATCCGGAAACGCAGGGCAAACAATGACCCAGACTCAAAGTTAGCTCCAAGTAACCTATGGTGGGATTGTCTGTAAAACACCTGAATGAAAAGAAAAACCAGGTTAACCTTTAAATATGAGGTCCATATGTGAAGGAAATAGGCTGAAAACTGGAGCCAAGGCTCCATGTTTATTAGCTGTACTGGTTTGGTCATTGTTCATTATTATTCATATGTCATCTTTATACCTATATGAGACCTTCCTGACACGTACTAAAGGGGAATACATGGGTTCTATTTAGGCAACCCCATTGGGCCCCATACAATAACCCAACTGAGCCCAGGCACAGGTAGTGCCCCTTATAGGTATAGAAGATGATCTTTTATCTCCGGGTGGATCATCTAAATAAGTGGTCCTCCTAATCGTCAATCATTCTGGTGATATGATTACGTAAGGCCGTCTTTCGTGGTTGTCCCGTTAGCTGTCTTTTTCTGCGCATGCACACTTTTAGGCGTATATGTGTGGTGAGCTAAACTCACCTTTCTCACCGCTGTACTTTGAAAATGGCCGAGGATTGTAAGAGAAAAAGTGTCTACGAAGTGTATAAAAAGAAAGGCCTCAGAAGAGGCAGATATATCCCAGAATACTTTGCACGGAGCACTCTCCTCCAAAAGCATTATGGGATTTGCTGTCACAGCGGCATGCTTTCTTCATAGGCTGTCGCTGCATCGACTAATACTGAAGATTGCGCAGGCACCGCACGGTGGAGGAAGAGTTATGTGACCAAAGGGGAGCAAAAAGTAGTAATCATCTGTTCGAACGGTCAGGTAACTGCGTTCACTATAAAGTCCACTATAAAATCCCCGCTCTATATAGTGATTGAGGGATATAGGGGTCAAAGTGGACATTCGGACAGAGTAAGCCTGTATGAGCTATTAGAATAGCAACTTTTAAACAGAGGGTGCGCAAGGAGAAATGGGTTTGTGCATGCTCTCGCACACAATTAATAGGCGTTACCTCTCAGGAGCGGGTACAGGGTTGTGCATGTGCATTTTTTTTTTTAAGTGGAGAGTCTTTTAAAAAATTAGTTAAAATCCTCCACAACAACTTTAAGCTTGAGCCAAACCCCAATTGGCCATACATACACATCCCCCCTGTGGAGTTATTAGGAATAAAATTTCTCATAGGCCTTTCAAATCTACATGTTTGCTAATTTTTTAATCTGACCAATGAGTTTATGCTTTGGAAAAGCAAAGAATTTTGACCTTGGGAAATAATTGAGATGAAGCTGTCCAGCTGTTAACAAAAATACCTGACTGCTGTAACACTAGTATAAATAATTATTCAAAAATCGATCAAATCTGTTTGATACCGATATAATTATGCTATTGTTAAATGTAAGAAAAAAAACCTTTTAATAGGTTACTGTCTTATTTCCTTTCATAGACAAACTTCAGTAAAATGAAAATATTTAAATCTAAATCTAAGATTAACAATTTTGGCCTCATCCGAATACACAAATTATTTTATCATATGATGGCCAACAAAGCAGAGAAACCCTCAAATCAACCATCCTTCTTCATCTGTGAACAAAACAACAATAGTCATCTAGAAGGAACATTACAGAGAGAGGAAGACCGGCTCTGTACTGGAGATAGTGGCCCGAGGGGCATTGTTAGTTCTCTATGTAGTCTTTAATTAGCAATACTCAGAGAAATGAGATGAACGCTTTCCTTCATTATGTAAAGGCAGAAAAAAGGAGTTGATATTCAGAGCTCATAAGAATCCATTTTCAAATTATGGCTTGTGCAAAATGTCTTCAGTGAATGAAACATGATGATGACTGATGGCTCACAGACAAACACACACCTTTGAGGTCCTAGCATATCTAATGTTTGGACAATAATATCTCGACTGGTTCACAGAACAAAACAATAAATGAGTTTCAGGATCATCCCCCAGGTATCCATCTATTTGGTCAGCTCCTGCTGTGTTTGGTCATTTTTCCAAGTACTGTCATATTTCTGCTAAAGATTAAAAGCACGGATTGCTCTTGATGTCAGCCTGAATCTGAAAACGATGTCTGTAAATAACTGTCTGTTGGTGGGAATGAGTACAGTTCAAATGCAGTACGCTCTGTTTAGCAAAGAAAAGAGCTGCTTTGTTGTAATTGACAAAATGTAATATGTACAGTTCAGTGGACAGACATAAAAGGGCTCAAGCATGAGATACTCTTTTTTTCATTTTCATTTTCAGCCCTTTTTTTGTTTCTGTTTACTCAGAGACGCTGGTAATCGCTCCAGCCAGCGAGGAGCAGCCTCTGGATGTTCAGAGATGATATAAACCTGGGTTTACAGCTTCTGTTGGGTTTCATTTTATGCACAATGTTTTTATTAATCCAGAACTGTCCACTCATGCACACAGAGACAGGCAAGCAGTGTTTGTTATCTAGTAATGGCCAACATCTGTTTTAGCAGGGTCTTCTCCTATGGTGTATTTTATACATGTTTAAATTTGCTGAAATCCACTTAAAATATTCTGGCTACTTATACAGTCTTGCAAGGATTTAATCTCCTTAAATTAGAGAAATTATCTGCTCATTAAAGGGAAAGCTCAGGATTTTTCAATATTATATCTTACTAACAAAAAATAACTTTACCGTCATCCTCTTTCAGCCTAAGCCCAAATAACATGGAGGCCACAGCCAAGAGGTATTCAAAAATGTATGAACAAAACTGGCCTCTTAATTCATCATAAACAACTCCACTGCATAAAAAATGTAAAGCAGTTTATGCTGACTCTATTTAATTATCCACTAAACATTGTCCTATTTGCTCTATGATGATTTTGTATTTACATAGAAGTAGATCATTTATTTACATAGTTGGTCATATAATACAGAACATAGAGGTTCTAATAAATACGTTGTTGTTTTTTTGCTTTTGTTTTTTTTCTTGAACTAACTAGATAGTTTGATAATGATTATAAAACCCATTCTAAGTATGTGTCCCTCAGGGAGATCCTTGCAGCGCACTGCCTCCACTATTTAATTTCTGTGTAGCTGTCAATCTAACAAAAACAATCTATTGCAGTTTTATAATGTTTTATTGGATAATTATACTCAGCATCAACTGCTGAATGATTCAGAAACTGGAGTTTAGACCATGGAAGTTATTTATTGAAGGTGAGATGTTTTCTGCTTATAATCCTTTAAAAGCTCACAAAAGAAAGTCCTGAACTTTCTTTCCTTTTTGTTTGAAAAATCATATTTGTAAAATGACAAAAACAACTATCCCATAGCCAGATTATTTGGATTTATTGATGATCAAATTATCAGATTTAATGAACAACCCATTGATGAACACAGTTGAGTGTTACACTTGAGCTATATGAGATCCAACTTTCTATTTTTGATGTCCAGACAAGTCTGTGGTATTTATGCATATGTGTATATGGCTACGTACAGTATGGCCCCTACGCAGCATTTATGCGTGAATAGTAAAGCATATTTTCTATGGTAGAGACCATCTCCCACTATTGTTTGCACAGTAGCTTCTAATATGCACCGTGATGCCCCATTGTCCTTTTACTGTTCACTGACTTTATAATTTGTGAAAGTAAGTTATGAAAAATGTATTTTGGTACTATAAGGATTATTGTAAAAAAAATAAACTAAAATAAAAATATAGCAGATGTATTGTTCCAAAAATATATTGCCATAGTGTTGCTATGACTGTTTTTTTCTTTTTTTGGGAGGGTTTTACAGGGATATTTCTGTTGGATTGTTGTTCATTTGTCATCTAACAGTATATTACATTGTTATATAACTTTCTTACGTGGCAATAAAAGATGACTTCTGTAAAAAGTGTTATTCTCTTAGCATTCCTCTGGTTTGTCTTTGTTCTCTAAAACCATAAGTAAAAATGTGACAAAAGCTTCCCCAGCTATGGTGAGTGTAGAGAATTTGTTCATGTATGAAAATGGAATGACCGGGCAGAAGCACCCATGCAGAGGTAAAGCCTTTAAACATTTAGTCAGGGTTACTATTATTGTTTCTATCATTTATCGGGAGAGAGCACAAGTGTTGTTTAGGCAATGGGTTACATTCCACCTTCTGCTGTTGCCAACACTGCATGTTATGTCATCGGTTCTGTAGGGGCTAAGCTATAGACACAACAGACGAATGCATTTGTGACCTGGTGATTATAATCATATTTCT